GCTTCTACGGGGGTCCGGGGGCATAGCTTCCCGGAAAATATTTCGATATTGGCCCTTGAAAATGCTTTATCCTTCACTGTCTAGTGATTTTATGTGTATCTTGACAGCACCGAAATCCAAATATTTGATAAAAGAGAATGGATTTGAATTTTTCATTTCCAATTCTTAAAAATGTAACACAAGTGGGCTGAAAAATTTGTAGGCCCGGGCCTACGGGCCTATAGGCTGGCTACGCCACTGTTAATTAACTGCTGTTTCAATGTCCCAGGCAGTCATGGAACGTGAATTTGAAAGTGTGACATTTACACGAGACCAGTGCGAGTGCTTAACACAACCTGTCTTATTCGAATTTTACGGTAGCATGTTAACCCAAACATGCAAGGCTTTTATAACCCGAAGCCTGTTTGTCATTTTCTACACTGAAAACGAAAAATTTGGACTGCCTGGTATGGCAGTTCAATATGGCCTCTTTAGGCCTTCGTCGGTATAGGTCTCGTGTAATCATCACCTATGTTGGTAACAAACGTCTACTAAACAATATTAATAATATTTAGAACGAAGAAAGAAAATAATAATGGCAAATTAAAATAAAGTTGAATTTTCTTACAGTAATATCTATGCCCATCATCTGCAGTTTAAAATACTCACTATATGATGGCCTCTTGCAACAGTACAGTGAAGTAGCAGCCTGAGGTAGCTTCATAAGATATGTCCATAAATTGATGCTTTTTCATCGAAAGAACAACATGTTTCCCTTCGAGTTCATAAACTAAAACGGCTGCTGGTGCCAGAGATATGTCATTTGGTTGCATAAATTACACGCTGCGCATGCTACAGCCGCCATATTTGATACATGCATGGGCCAGCGGTAATGACAAATAGGAAATCGCTATCGTTCGGGTTTGCTCGGATTATTCAAGATGGCGGCTCTACGATCGAACGTGTTGTCATGTTTCAGCGCAACAAATAAACGGACTGTTCACATAGACTGACCACAGTCTATGCATATGGAGAGGAAATTGCAAGGAAACGAACTCGGAAAGGCGATTACATGACTGGGGGGTGAGTTAACGATGAAAATATATCGCGTATTGCACGAAACGAGAATTTTGCTGTCAGTCTGCATTTTATACCCAATTTTGGTCTCAGTCTGCATTTTATACCCAGTCTGCATTTTATACCCAGTCTGCAGTCTGCAATCTGCAGTCTGCAGTCTGCATTTTGTACTGACCGTTTATGCGACCTTTATCGTGATTATTAAGCTTACATTTGTGATGCTTTTGCTCAAACAGAGCATATCATCCGCTGTCATTTTTCTCTTCGTTCCATTAGTCATGTCGCTTGTGTGCGAATAGTAAATTCACGTTTTTGTTTTGCAGGAATGTTTGTTTGGTACCAAATAGCGTGGTGTCAAATGAATGTGATGATGTATAATTTGGACAAAGTAGCGCCATGCATAGAACAAAAGTGTGACGAATCAGCGTTGTGTGCACAACAAAAAGATGTTGCCAAAAAAAATAGAATAAGTAAAAGAATTCAGATCTCAAGATGCGGTGTTTGTTAATCGTTGTGATATTAACAGTGGTGAGTACCATGTGCGAAGACGATTCGATCGTGAGCATAGCAGAATGTCAGTAAAAAAACTAGAAAAGCGTTCACGTTAAAACAAATAAATAAAGAAACTGATGTGCGGTGGAGTTCTTAAAAACATTCCTATCTCATCAAAAATGTATTGCTACATCAAATGCTGACTCAGAAAAAGGAGCAGTAATGACAGTATCCAGTTTGTACAAAAGATGAGAAAGAAATGGCATTCTAAACAGTCAACACTGAATAGAAAATTGTTGAGTTGTAGAGACTCGTTGAGCAAATATCTATCTTTGTATAGCTGTAATACCTTAACAAGTGTGTACAAGAATGCGATTCGCAGAGGTCATTGTGCCACACTGAATGTGTGCAATGACATTGAAACAAATTGCGGGTCTCCTATACAAGGTATTGATCCTATTCTAACAATCAAGGCACCATACAGCTAAGGTGATATTATGTACTTTGATGAAAATGCTGGACAACAATGTGTTGCTACGAGTTTGATTGCTCTGATTTATAATAAGATAAAAGGAGTACATACCTGGTACAAATTTTGGAGATGGGTAATCAATTGTATTCAACACTGTCATGATGTACAGGGCAGTTGTATTTAATGCAAACAGAATTACTGTCATTGATTGCTTTGTCTGAGAAAAATTACCAGCTTAAGTAAAGCGAAAGCTACACTGGTAATCTACATTATTGTGATTCAATTTGAGAAATATCAGTACAGTATGTCTACAGAAAGGGCTTTTAAATCACTCTCGTGTCACAAAATTACTCTTCATTTATTCTGACAATAGAATGTAAACAGTGTCAGTATCTATTGTGTTGATAATGGGAGTTCTAAGATATTTGACTCTCATACAAGAGACAAATATGGAAGAAACCATCCCTCAGGTACCTGTGTACTATTAGAAGTACCATCTATTCAGGGCTTAGTACAGTATTTTCAGACTATAGACTCCCTCAATGACAATTATGAACTCAGAGGAGTGCAGATAAGTACATATGAAATAACTGCAGTGAACAGTTTGAGAGAACACAACTGCTCTTGTAAACAAAGCTGTAGGGCTTTATGCAACATGTTACTCAGTAGCAAAGTCTTGTAGTTATTAGAATTCCATAACCGTATGTTGCATAGCTGACTGAGTAAATAAATTCTATCGTAACATCGGCATCCACAGGCATCTAAAAAGGGCAGATTTATACACCAGTCTTATTTGTGGAGTTGAGATATCAGTCCAAATTAAAGCTCATGGCTATGGGATGTTGTCCAGTGGTTCAAACAATACAAAAAAGAAAGTTGGAAAACTTAATTTTCAACAACTACAGGGTTTTTATTGTGGCTTGCAAGTTACTGTTGGGTATTACTTGTATTTTTCAACAAACAGTTAGAGCAAAGTAGATGTTCTCCTTATTGACCTATGAAGATACTTGTGAACCTGCAATACAACAAATAAAAATAAGTGGTATACCATCATTAGTACAAGCTATTTCTAACGTTGTTACAAAGAAACTTAAAACAGGTATTATTCACTACAAAATGCAATTTTTGTCTTGCATGTCTAACATGGACCTTCATCAACTCAGTCAAATCAACTCAGACAAATGCAAAAGCACAGACGAGAATATAGTTCTGATAATTTGGAACCTGCTCCAAAAATGAAAAGAAGTCAGAGTACAGCACAAGAGTGAGACAATCCCAACTATTGGTATCTGCATTAATTAATTCAAAGAGAAAATCAGGGAAGGTCCTTATTAGGTATGCTGTGTATACAATACAATACAATTTATTGACACCCTGGTGGGGCTTTTTGGTGACAATGCAATTAAAAACCATATAAACATGCCTATTTAAGAATTAATCATATAATAAATGTTATCACTACATACTATAAAATATGCACATTTCAAGTTAAAGTTATAATAAAATAATAATGAGATACTAAGAACACTATCAGAACGTGCTATTGAAAAAGTCAGTAATCAATTTGTATTTCAGATAAAGTTTACAATGTTTTCACGATGAACTATACTTCCTTGCTTTCAGACCATTACGATATGAGTTGTATCTGTGTCGTGTACATGTAATTTGGTTGAATCCGAATGTTTCACTGACCATGAAACACTACATGTCATTTTATGAATTTATGAAGGATCATGGCTCTCTTGCTGGGTTTAACGGTCCATGGGAATTTTTTGCCAGATTATTTGCAGAGGGGAAAGGATAGAGTTCTTCATGTTTGCATAATTATTAAGAATGGGAATGGATTTTTGCAAGAGCGAAAGAAGAGAAAAATTCAGAACGTTCTAAGAGATTAAGTGTAGACAAAAACTCTTAAACATCTTAAAGCTTTCCTTCAAAATGATACAGTACATTTCATTTCAATTTCATATCACATATTTTTCAAGTTTGCTCACTCTTGGAAAAACCCATTCTCAACCTAGAAATAATCAGCAAATAAAGCTTAGTTTTTTTTTACCGGCACCATTGGCAAGTTGATACAGATGTATATTGAAATCCTCAGTCACCTAATAAATCTAATTGATAACCCCAAAGTTAATGGACTGTTGTGTTTGAAAACAAATGACAATAACAAATTTGTTCTGGTCTTACTTATAATTATACTATCCAGCCAGATTGGATTGACTAATGACTAAGAAACAACTTTGTCATGGGTGTCAGTCTTACCACATCAAGCACGGAGATGCAATTTGCATTTTACAACTTGATTCCATATGTTAATTTACAAAATGTGTTATTGTCGAGGAAGCATCAAAGATTCTTCAGACAAAAGCAAACTTAAAGTTCCTTGATTATTAAATCGCTGTGAAAAATCCAGTGAAAAAGGGGAAAGAGACAAGCTTCCCATGGGTACTTCATCAAGTTCTTGATCTCCAAGTTCACCTAAACCACCAATATTGTTCATTGTCAAAACTACACGCCTTAGGGTGTTGTTGTGTTGTTGGAGCTCAACAAATGCCTGAGCACCAGCTGAATGGATATTGTTGTTAGAAACATCCAGGGCAGTCAAGGTGGTATTGGTCTTAAAAGCCTCACAAAGTGACTGGGCTCCATTATCACCAATGAAATTAGAAGTAAGGTCTAAATCAGTGACAGTAGCATTACTTTTAAGAGTCTCAGCAATTGAATCAGCTCCAGCAGCAAATATGCAATTGTATGACAGATTCAGGTCCTTCAGAGAGACATTGACCTTAAGAGCTTCTGAGACTTTTTTGGCTCCACGATCACCAATATTGTTCCCTGATAGCAGTAAGTGAGTTAGTGTAGCATTAACTCTGATGGTCTCTGCAATTGAATCTGCACCTTCCTCTCCAATGGAATTCCTAGACAGGTCCAGATGTTGAGTCAGTTTGCTAGACATAACGTCTCGTAGTCACGTTCGACGCACTAAAAACTACTATAAAACGAATACAAGAGAAAGATGGAGAAAGGTGGAACGAGAAAAGGAAAAGAGCGAAAGGAAATCCAACTGGTACAAACGCGGCGGGAATGAATCAGTAATTTTTGTACCAGCTACGCCCAACTCACGGTTACGGAAGGAATACCAGACAGAAATAAAGCAGCAAGGTTTCAATATTAAAGTGGTGGAGAAAGCCGGAATCGCCATTAAACGACTACTCCAAAAGTCCGACCCATTTAAACCGCGACAGTGTGGACGAGAAGACTGCCCAGTGTGTAGCACAGGTGGAAAAGGACCGTGTGATAGAGAAAGTGTGACGTATGAGATTAAGTGTATCCAGTGTAACAGCGTATACGTAGGGGAAACAGCCAGGAGCGCGTATACCAGAGGGAAAGAGCATACGAAATCACTTAACAATAAGGAAGAACGATCTGCATTGTGGAAACACTGTAAAGAGAAACACAATAGAGAGGTAAAGCAGTTCCGAATGGATGTGACGGGGGTTTATCACAATGACGCGATGCTGAGACAAATAACTGAAGGAGTGAGGATAAATAATGTGAACGAAGACTCGCTTATGAACTCCAAGAACGAATGGAACTTTTTTCAAATCCCACGAGCTGTGATTGATACATCATGACCGCTTACATGAAGCCTGGAAGAAGTGTGGACATTTCAGAGTCACTTATATGAACAATTATTTATGAGTATTTTAAACATGGCGGAGTACTACTGATGAGGATCGTAATTGATCGAAATCGATTTGGAATTCCGCTACATTTTTACAAGTGACTTTTTATATACCATTTTACACGTTTTTACAATTCTTGTATTCGTTTTATAGTAGTTTTTAGTGCGTCGAACGTGACTACGAGACGTTATGTCTAGCAAACTGACTCAATTATCGAACACGTTCCTGGCCTCGGCCCACAAAATTTCATCACAAGGTCCAGATGTTTTAGAGAGGTATTCACCCTGAACCCCTCTGATAGAAGTTGGGCACCACGAGCACCAAGGGCATTCTCAGCCAAAATCAGACATTCCAGTGTCCCATTAACTTTAAGAGCATCAGAAAGTAAACGACCACATGATGCTTTGAAGTTGTTCCTTGAGAGGTCAAGAATTTTCAGGGTGGTATTAACTTTAAGGCTTTTAGTTATTAACCTGGCACCACCAACACCAACCTTGTTTCCTTGGAATTCAAGTTCTTTCAAAGTAGAGTTGACTCTCAAGACTTCTGCCATAGACTTAAAACTTTGATGACTTATTTTGATTTCTGACAGTGACAAAGAGGCTAGGCTGCAGGTATTAGTTTTAAGAACTCCTGCAAGAGAATGAACACCTTGATCACTGATACCAGTTCCAGACAAGTCCAATGAGTCAAGAATTTTGTTGACTTTCAGAGCCTCACATAATGACATAGCACCAGGATTACCAATGCCAGGGTTTTGGCAAAGGTCCAAAACAGTTAAAGTGGTGTTAGTCCATAAAACCTCTGCAAGTGCTGTGGCTCCTGCATCATCAATGTCACTCCAATTTAGATGTAAGGCACTCAAGGTTTTATTTCTTTTCAAATAGCCCACCAAGATCCTGGCTCCATCATTGCCCCATGCACTACCGCCAAGGTATAAGTGAAGCAGTGTTGTATTAACCATTAGAGCATCTACCAGTAGCTGCACACTGTATCCACTGACAAAGCAACTTGCAGGAAGAAAAACTGTAGTTAAAGTTTTATTAACCTGAAGCATGTTTGCCAATGACACAATATAGTGGCCTTCCAAAAATAGAGCATCAATGTGCAAATAGGTCATTGTGCTGTTAACTTGAAGGGCCTCAAGAAGCAAATTAATGGGGAAGCTGTTGTCAGTTATTATCAAGTATTGAAGCTGTAGGTTTGTGCCAAATAAATGTATCATCTGGGATCGAAGTTTTGAATTTTCTGTGGAGCATTCACCAATGGTCTTCAGAGCAAAAGACAGATAAAAATTTGGTAAACAACTTTTTTGGGAGAGATTGCTTTTCTCAGTAATGATCTTTAAAAGTGACACGGCATCAATCCCACTTTTATGGCCAAGAATACCGACTGTGAACAAAAGGACTTGTTCAATAACCTTTAAGTTTCCTCTTTCATTTGCAAGCAGTCTCTCAAAGTTTGTCTCCCCTTTTGAAATTTGACCAGAGAGATAAACACCTGCAAAGAATTCTTGAAAACTCTTGTGTGAAAATCGAAAGCATGTATGGAATCTTCTTTTGCTGCTGCTGGACTGAACTGACAAGAATTCAAATAAAGGTGAGTTTCTTCTTGTACCAGTTAATTCACCCTCTTCAATATGCACCATATCTCGCTTCAAGGCCTCCAAGGCTATTCTTCCCAATTGTCCCAGCTGTTCTTTGAAAACGTCAATTAGGTTGCCATTACTGTGACACAGCCCTTGCTTTTGGCAAAATCTTTTAAGAATGCATTCTGTGATTTCAAGATACAATTGAGTCTTGCTTAGAGGGAGACCGCCTTCTAAATCTTCATAAACAAGACAGAGCATTGCTGTGAATAAGGGATTCACAATCAGTTCTCCAAGTTCAATATTTTGTTCAATGTCACTCAAAAGTTTTTGTCCCTGTGCCTCCAAGTCTTTGAAGTAGTGATTGATGTAACTGTGAGAAGTTTCAGAAGCAAATCCTTCCAATTTACATAAGGTGTCACAAAACTTGCTTATCTTAACGCTACCCTCTTGCCTGGATGTAAGAATGATGTGACACTCTGAGAGTTCTCTGCTCTCAACAAGGCCTGAAAACAGCTTCATGAGATTGGGAGGTGCTTCATCCAGTCCATCAAGTACCAGCAGTACCTGGGACTGATTGTCACGAATGTACTTGAAGAAGTTCTCTCTTTCATCCTCTTCAATATCTGTGGGAAGTAGCTGATCATCTATTGCTTCCCAGATGTTGCCTGTCATCTCATGACATTTGAGCAGGAGAACCAATTTGATTTTGGGGAAAGAGGGGTCAGTTTCTTGACCATTTGCCCAGTCATATGCTATCTTTTGACAGTAAGTTGTCTTGCCCATTCCAGGTTCTCCCTCAATCAGGACAGTTCTGGGCTTGGAGTATCCACTGTGAGGTTTGAAGACTGCAGTGATGCTGGTTACCAGTTCTACTGCTGTTCGTCTAGTTTTACCTTGCCTGACAATGGTTGGCCTGGTAAATATGTCATTAAGGTCAAAGTTGAACTCCTCACACCAAGGAAATGGTGAATGTCGCCCCTCACGCGTCTGGTAAAGTTGGCGAATCCTTTTTATGAGTTCAGTTGGTTCATCAACATCTGAATTAAAAGTATTAGCAAATATTAGGTAAATAAGGAATTAATTTTAATTTCAGAATGTTATTATTGTTCACTAAATAATGAAAGAAACCATTAGCATCTCTCCTGCACAAAACTTAAAGACAAATAAAAATATTTCACTGTAGATGTGCTTCTAGTTATAGTTATTTTCTCGAAAAAACTTGTAATTTTGTTTGACTTGCTTTTCTCTCTTAAATACTTTAAAATGGGAAGAAAGGGAAAGAGAACATAAAGAGAAATTAAAAAAAGAGAAGAAATGGAGAAAGAAATGGAAAATATCATTGACAAACAGGACTGTAAGTTATTAGTTTCATCTGTCCTTATTAAATCCACTTCTGTTTTTTCCCTTCTCAATTCACTTTTCCTAATTTTTTTACCCATCTGCTTTCCTTCACACCACTTTTAATTAATAGTTTCTAAAATCTACCTTTTGGTAATGATGTGCTTGTTGAAGCTTTCATCAGTTCTTCAAGCATCCAATGAATCTCATCCAGTTTTTCTTTGGTATTATCATCATCTCTTTTCCATTCCTTCAGAAGTTCTCTATAGTGTTCTTCAAATAAAGGGTCCATGCATTCATTCTTAAGATCATCAATTGCTACTCCATATGCAAGTCCTCCAAGTCTCACCAGAGCATCTCTGATGTCCTGCCAATACCCATTAAATTTTGCATCATCCACAGATGCTTTATCAGCATGGGCATACACTGTATTTCTATAGTATTTCATGCGTGCAATGTCAGCCTCTGTGCTTATATCTGTGGCAGGGGGAAGTGCATCCCATCCAGTAACTGGGGGACTAAGGCTACAAATGTTCCTTAGTAGGACTGTCAGAAGAGTTATGTCAAAGTTTTTTGACGATACTGAGGTACGTATTGGAGGGTAGAGGTTTCCCCATTGTGTTGGATTTAAAACTCTCTTCTTTTGAAGAATCTGAAGTTTGGCATGATGTGTCATCAGGTTTTTGTGAAGATCACTTGGAGGATGAATGCTGTCAAAAGTGTCTCTTAGTACATGACATCCTACATCAACCAGAAGACGGCAAAGTCTTGCGTAATTGGTGGTCTCTTTAGTAGAGGAAAATGACACTGGAGCTGCAGTTGTGGCCATTGTCTTCCTGACAAATACAAATATGAGTAAAGCCCTTAATTAAAGAAGTTTTGATTCATTTATTTACGAACCAATACATCTTACTTGATTATATTTTGAGAAGGAGGGGTAAGGGGAAACTAATCCAACTGAGACACTTCAAAATTTGGAAAATTTTGATGATGTTGGATCACAGGTAGCCCAAGCTTGGTCAGAGGCTCTTTCACAGTGGATTATTAAAGAGTTTGTACAGTGGTTTAGTTGCACTTACTTTTGAGCTCTGTAAATGTAAAGTTGTGTGAAATAATCAAAGAAATACAGTCTTGCCTTCCCGTATCTTGTGCACAGTGACTCAGTGGTGATTTGGGCGTCAAGCTAAAACGCATGAAAACGGCTTCAAATCGTGAAGAGAACAACACAGACTACTTTCTATGAAGGCAAGACTTTATTTCTTTGATTATTTCACACAACTTTACATTTACGGAGCTCAAAAGTAAGTGCAACTAAACCACTATACAAACTCTTTAATAATCCACTGTGAAAGAGCCTGTGACAGAGGTTGGGCCACCTGTGGTTGGATAAGGATTTGTCCTGTTATTAATAACATGTTGCACCCACGATATGCATCAATAATGCTGGGAAAAAAATTATGAAGATTAATTTAGTGAATATGTTATGAATCATTTCAAAGATCTTCAACTTATATTAGAAGAATGGTACTTTTCCTGAAACATTGAATATAATTTGTATCAATAATTTACCATTCAGAAGAGGTAGGTTGCCAATGTGAGAAGTGGATGTGGGACTGAAGAGAGTGTTTGGCAAAACTGGGCTTGTTTAGAAAGTAACCCAGAATGAGCTTTAAGAGCTGTGATTTGGCTTTTACTCTACAGAGAGCAGAGCTTAATTATTCGTTTAAATTAAACACCCAGTAGGCTGAAAAGGCTGTGAAGGGTGTCAGCTTCGAAGAAATTTCTGCAAATATTGATATCAACCTGGGATGATGATAATCAAAACCCAAAGTTCAACAAACGTTTAAATTCAATTGCCAACGTCTTTGCAAACAGATTGCGCGCTGAGACACAATCATTACAAAATCAACCATGAATTTCGAGCTTATATTATATTATTTCTTTTTTTTTTAGTTAACTCGTATAGATTTTTTTAAACCAAAGCTTTCTCACTTCCTTACCAAACAAACAGTAGGTATACAATCTAATGAGGGCTGTTCACACTGGTTACAATTTTGAGGAAAGTTAGCTTTGAACTGCATTTCATTTCACTCTGTTAGACTATAAAACCGGTCTTACAAAAATTAAGAAATACAAACCTGCTTTATCACCAAAAAGAAGGAGCCAGTCGGCGAATCACAACAGAAAATTCGAGAGAGGAAGTTCATTGAATTTGGGTTCACCCTTGATGTAAATGAGGGACGTTCCCGTGACGTCATTGACTGGTGTCTAAAAGTGGAATGTCGGCTCTTTAGGTCACGAATACTCCCCACGGTCACGCGATGATTTCAATGGTCAGCGTAACAGCTGGTCACGCGTTCCCTGATCTTGTGAAGTTCATCTAATCTTCTAGGGGAGAGGGTTTCTATCTTTGGTAGATTTACTTGTATTTCGTGTATACTTCTCAATTTTGGGGGGTTTCTTAAATAGGTAAATGACTCGTCTATGTAGTACTGTGGTACACTTGCACAAGAGAAGAACTTAGCCCACATTTTTAGCAAGTGTATGCTGGTTAACGGGGCAGAAATAGCTCAACCACTAAAGAGACATCTATATGTGGCGATCGGACGAGGTAAAATCAGCTGCTCTTGGCAACCCTCTAACGCCTACCAATCTGTCAGAAAGGTGGTAAAAAATAGAAAATAAAATAAAACAGGCTCTCACTCTCGTCAGTTTCTGGGTCACTTGTCTCCGTTTATCGCAACTAGTAAATCAAATCCATATGGGAGACTGATCAATTGCCCGAATAAAAACATAGTACTGCACTCGTTTATTTACTTTATTGATCACTGGCATTAGTTTCCGTCAGGATTTAAAAGGAATCATTCGCTCAACTCAATTCCTCACATAAAACATTTCATCTACTATAATCTAATGTCTTTGCATTGCGTAATTCAGTTGGAAATTAGTTTCCAATTTCAAGTCCATAAATCTCTCCATAGTGTGTACGATCCATCTCGGCCAGTTTTTATCCTCTTTCTTCCATTCCACGTGAACAATACATGGAACTTCTACTTGAAAAGTTCGTTTCACGCAGGCGTTCAAAACTTTACCGAAAGTGTATTCAAGTTGAGGGAAATTAATCATTGAGTCAAATATTTATCGAAATATTCTTACCTAACGCTCCGATATGACTCTAGCTTCTCTAGGAATGCTAACCTCTTCTATGCACTTTCATACAAAATTTTCTGGAAATAAAATGACATACCACCAAGAGTGACCTTTGTAATCGTTTGTCTGTGGATCAGTGTCGTAGAGTTGATGATTTGCTTCGTATGCCCAAGAAACGTCTATTTTTTCCTCAGTTATCGAGAATAAATATGGAAACCAGCGGGTTCTTTTGAAGCCACCAAAAGTCTTCTAAAGAAAACTCAGTGAACCTCAATATCCTTCTGCCTGCATGTTCAGTGATGCTGACACAGCTGATCAGTTTAACTCGTTTTTTTAATTATAAGATTTGTCTTATTCAAGAAGGACTACCGGAGTTTATCGTTGATCATGATGGAACTTCAGTATTCTGCTAGTCCATCGATGGACTGTGCCGGTCAATGTGAATCAAAATCCTTTGAGAGTTTCGACCGAGCACATCATTTGTAGCCACGGTGCTCAAGTCTAGCAAGGGTAAGTCTGTGAGTTGGATCCTGTCCCGGCCTCTCTTCTTACTGGAGGCCTTCCTGTTCTTGTTACCGTAATTACTGATCTTCACTTGGAAGACTTTTCTGTCTCAGAAACGACGATCACTTACGATATTCTTCAGTATCTTCTAAGGTCATCTTTTACCTTAGTAGGTTCCGTGTGCAAATCAAATCACACTGATAAGCAGACTCGACAAAGGCCCGTTTGATTAGTTAATAATTTTTTTTTATATCTCTTAACCTTACTTACGAACGTAAAAACAGTGTTTACCTCTGTTTTTATTGGTTTTGTAAACGGAGGTCATCACACGCATAGAAAAGCTGAGTTAGTGGCCCTTTTTAAAGTAGATTTTCGTTCGATTTTGCGTGGCCTTGTCAACCTCCTACACAAGAACCTTTTTTCGATTCTTAACCCATAGCTCAAGGGGAAACGACGCTTTAAGAATGCTTTGATGTAATAATCGTCGATAATTGTCAACTTTGGTTTTCCACGGTTTATCTGTCTTTTTAGTCGAAGCCTGCAAAATAATCCCACTCGCTAGTTGTGACACGCCCAGAGTTCGTTTTGTTTCGTCTCGTTTTCGAACTTGGCAGTCGCTGTCAGCGCAACACACGCGTTTTGGTTATTCCATATTCATATGTTTAAATAGAGCTGCCTATTCATCAATTGAATGTAAGTAGACTTTTTAGAGATAAAGTACCTTTCTCGCATAGAAAGATCCCTCTCGTTTTAAAAGTTTTCCTGTCAGTTGACTTTGTTCTTTTCCAAGGAGTAAACAGGATCTTTGGTTTGCCAAGAAATTTGCGCTTTCACATCCCAGTGGGTATCAGCAGAAAGAAAACTGTTTTCCCTTATTTCAAAGTATACTCCATGATGTGATTCTGCAGTCATTATCATGGCTGATATGGACAGAATTATTGTAGCAAATGCACTAAGCAACACCTGGAAATCGTTACAACATGGGATGAACAGTTCAATAGCCAATGCATAGAGAACTGGTTTAGTGAAGATGTTCATACGAGCTAAGATAAGTTATTTAAAAGCAGGAGTTAGATGGGAAGGTTACTATACTTTTTTCTCGGTGTAATCCTGTCGACAGATTGTAGCCGTACTGGATCAATTCGTTTCTTTACTCGGAACTGACGTTATAAATTTTGAGTTGACCATGGTAATAGAAGATCAAACGATGTTTCAAACCATTATGACATTTTGTGGCAATTCCGTCCTAAGTACCATTTCTTATGCGATAACATATTTTCACATTTTACTGTAAGTGGGGACTTGCTTCAATCTTATTTTGCACAACAAAAATCTCGGTTGTAGTTAGAGTAATTTGGAACAGAATTTCAGGTTTCTACGGTTTGAACGGTGGAATTTAGAGTTACAACTTTGATCTGAGATCGCCTCTTAATGGCCTGCTTAACTCTTTGAATTTTTCCGAAAGCTTTTCCAACTTGAGGACAAATAATCATTGAGTCAAAGATTTACACTTTGCAAACTTTTATTACATTGGTAATTCAGTTAACAAAACAATATAATCAAACACCATAACGATATATTCTTCCTCTTAATAATAGCCCTTCATGTCCTGAGGGGACATTTCCGGATAAAATCGTTAAATATTTGCTATTTCAAGTTTTCAATTTCATCAGTGACTTTGTCATTTTTCATTCCTTGAAAATCTATCTGATAAAGCTTTCAACTTAACACCTGGTAAACCTTACAACATAACATAAATGAGACGTACTCGAAAACATAATTTAGTACACAAACGTAAATTGAAAAATCAAAATATCCTCTTACGTTAAGAGCATAATTTAAGAGCGTTAAGAACATAATTTAGTACACAAACGTAAATTGAAAAATCAAAATATCCTCTTACGGTAAGAGGATATTTGTAAAAATCCATTGAAAACAGTGAAGATGGACAGTATCGACGATCTAGTCAAGTCGATGAGTTTACCCGGGGCACCTTGGTATGTGTGAAGAGTTGGTATTAGGAGACTATGAGGAGGACCCGTTGAGAGAGATTTGACTAGGTTCCAGGTTGACCGCGCATTAACGTTCTCTCAGCTGCACAAGAAGTTCCTTCCACGCATTAGAGGAATTCCGAACGGCCGTTAATTTGAAATTCTCCCTAGATTGGTTGCTCGACAAACCGACTTTTGTGGGGGTTTTTTCTGTGAACTTAAAGAGAAACTATTTGGCTTTCGTGCTGCCGAGTTTTGATTCGAGGGAAAGTATTTAAGTGTTGTTTTCGAGCGATTTTGGCGAGCATGTGTCAACAGAAGTTTCCGACCTTCCCGTATTTTATGCACGGTAATTTAGGGCGTCAAGCTAAAACACATCAAAACGGCCTCAAATCGCGAGGAGAACAACACAGACTACTCTCTACGAAGGTAAGACTTTATTTCTTTGATTATTTCACACAACTTTACATTTACGGAGCTCAAAAGCAAGTCCAACTAAACCACTATACAAACTCCTTAATTATTCACTGTGAAAGAGCCTGTGACAGAGCTTGGGCCACCTGTGGGTAGGTGTTTCTGAAGTCGCCGCAAAATGATATTGCACATTTTATTTCAATTTCAAACAATGTGTATTGCAAAGGTTGAAATCTTCTAAAGAAACTGTGGTGCTGCATCAGTGGGGGTAACAAGGTAATTTGGTATATCATTCAACTAAGTTGAAATTGTAAATTGGCCACTGTAATGAGTAAAAAAGCTGATTTTCAAGTGTTAGCCCTTCGTCATTCGCTCTGACAAATAAGAATAAAGCTTGGTTAGTTTTTTACAGGCACCATTGGCAAGTTGATACAGATTTATATTGAAATCCTCAGTCACTTATTAAATGTAATTGATGACCCTGAAGTTAATGGACTGTTGAGTTTGAAAAAAAATGATAAGGTTAAGATTATTGTATATTGATGGTTCAATACAGATATTAAGTTTGCTTGGTCTAAAGTGCATAAACTGTTTCTCAACATTCCTCTTCATGTGAATCTTATTTAGCTTGTGATCAGGTTCCCAACTCAACAGTTATGTCAGTTGAGCTGACCAGGGGTGTGTGCCAGCTTGATCACTCACAGGTTCAGCTCAGAGGGCCCTTGTCTTTTCACACCAGCCAGACTGGATTGACTAATGATTAAGAAACAGACTTTGTCATTGGTGTCAGCCTTACCAAGTCAAGCACAGAGATGCCATCAGCTTTTCACAACTTGACTTCCATTTGTTAATTTACAAAATGCATTATTGTTGAGGAAGCATCAAAAATTCTTTAAACACAAGTACATTTAAAGTTCCTTGATTAGTAAATCGCAGTGACAAATTATGTGAAATAGGAATGGATATTGTTGTCAGACAAAAACAGGGCATTCAAGGTGGCATTTGTCTTAAGAGCCTCACAAAGTGATTGGGCTCCATTGTCGCCAATGACATAAAAATCAAGGGCTAAAGTAGTCAGACTAGCATTACTTTTAAGGACCTCAGCAATTGACTCAACTCCAGCAGCAGCTATGGAATTCCTTGACAGGTCTAGGTCCTTTAGAGAAACATTGACTTTAAGGGCTTCTGAGGCTTTTTTGGCTCCACAATCACAAATTTTGTTCCTTGATAGCTTTAAGTAGGTTAATGAAGCATTAACTCTGATGGTCTTTGCAACTGAATCTACACCTTCTTCTCCTATGGAATTCCCAGACAGGTCCAGATGTGTAAGAGAGGCATTCACCCTGAACCCCTCTGATAGTAGTTGGGCACCACAAGCACCACGGGCATTCTCAGCCGAACTGAGAGATTCCAGTGTTCCATTAACTTTAAGGGCATCAGAAAACAAATGGCCACATGATGCTTTGAAGTTTTTCCTTGAGAGGTCAAGAATTTTCAGGGTGGTATTAACTTTAAGGCTTTCAGTTATCAACCTGGCACCACCAACACCAACCTTGTTTCCTTGGAATTTAAGGTCTTTCAAAGTAGAGTTGACTCTCAAGACTTCTGCCATAGACTTTAAACTTTGATGACTTATTTTGATATCTGACAGTGACAAAGAGGTTAGGCTGCAGGTTTTAGTTTTGAGAACTCTTACAAGAGAATGAACATCTCTATCACCAATACCAGTCTCAGACAAGTTTAATGAGCTAAGGGTTTTGTTGACTTTCAGAGCCTCACACAGTGACAGAGCACCAGTATTACCAATGCCTGGGTTTCCCTTAAGGTCCAAAGCTTTTAAAGTGGTGTTGGTCCGTAAAACCTCTGCAAATGCTGTAGCCCCTGCATTACCAATGTCACTCTGCCATAGGTGTAAGACGCTCAAGGTTTTATTCCTCTCTAAGTAGCCTGCCAAGGTCCTGACTGTATCGTGGCTCCATGCACTTGCACAAAGAAGATATAACTCGAGTAATGTTGTATCAACCATTAGAGCATCTACCAGTTGCTGCACACTATATCCACTTACAAAGCAGGTTGCATTAATAGTAACTGTTTTTAGAGTTTATTAACCTGAAGCATATTTGCCAGTGAGATAATACAGTGGCCTCCAAGAAATGGAAAAGGGATGGACAAATGGGTCACTTTGCTGTTAACTTGAAGGGCCTCGACAAGCAATTTAATGGGGAAGGTGTTGTCAGTTATTAACAAATATTGAAGCTCTAGGTTTGTGCCCAGTAAATTCATCATCTCTGATCGAAGTCTTGAATTTTCTGTGGAGCATTCACCAAAGCAAAAGACAGATAAAAATTTTGAAAAGTACAGTTTTTGAAGGGATTGATTTTCTCAGTGATGATCTTTAAAAGTGACATGGCATCACTCCCACTTTTGCGGCCAAGAATACCAACTGTGAACAAAAGGACTTGTTCCAATAGCCTTTAAGTTCCCTCTTTAATTTGAAAGCAGTCTCTCAAAGTCTGTCTCTCCTTTTGAAATTTTGCCAGAGAGATGAAAACCTGCAAAGAATTCTTGAAAACTCTTGTGTGAATATCTATAGCTTGTATGGGATCTTCTTTTGCTGCTGTTAGACTGAACTGACAAAAATTCAAACAGAGGTGATTTTCCTGTTTTATAAGCTGTACATTCACTCTCTTCAACATACATCTCATCTCTCCTCAAGGCCCTCAAGGCACTTCTTCCCAATTGTTCCAGCTCTTCCTTGTAAACTTCAGTTAAGTTGTCATTATTTTGAGACAATCTTTGCTTTTGGCAAAATCTCCTAAGAATGCATTCTGTGATTTAGTGGAATGAAAAGCGTTCGTTGATACCTGTGCATTTGTTCCTTTCACTATTGTTACCTGTCTCTCTAGAGATTGGGTACAAACCACCTATAGATAAGCAACATATGGCAATCTGCGGTCTTTCCTTACACTTAGGTAGCACGGAAAGCCGTAAAACTCTTGAACAAAAGCTCAACTTTCAAACCGGCAGTCTAAATCCCACAGGTATCAACGAACGCTTTTCATTCCACTAGTTTATTCGTGTTTTTCTCGTTGCCATGTTCCCACCAATCACGTAGCTCCTTTTTCTGCCTTTAAAAGCACACACAACCCACAATTCCTCTATTCGCTCCGACGAAGGGCTAACGCTCGAAACGTCAGCTTTTATAATCGTAACGGTGGCCAATTTACCATTTCAACTTTGTTGATATATTCAAATTATTTCGTTACCCCCACCGACGCAGCCCCAAACAGTTTCTTTAGAAACTATCAGCCTTTATTCATTTGTAAGAATCTGTAACATATGGAACGCCTTACTGTTATAGTATGGAGATGTTCTGTATTGAGTGTCGGTTTGTTGTGAGCCCGCGTAGTATGCAGCGGTAATGTTACCATGTGCTCTTAT